TGGCCTTTCTTCTTCAGCAGCTCTAAGAAGTAGTTTCCAGGGCACTGAGTTTCAAATCTTATCGTGATTTCATAATCATCTACAGAGACTGTTAAACTGCAGACTCCCGGGCTCTTTGTACTTGCAGGCAAAGCAGAAAGGAGGTGCTTGGTAAATGTTTGTGAAATAAGTAAGTGAATGAATAGACATGGGGGTGGAGGGGGCATCCGAGACTGGTCTTTCTGGGCAGTAACTATGTTTGGTAATTATTTCATGCCTGTAATCTTTGTTTCTTCGAATGTCATAGTCTTCCTATAGCCACTAGTCAAGAATCGAATAGCCAAGAATATTTCAAAAGGAAAAATGTCTTTTAAAAAGGAGTTGAAACATAGTTGGCAATTTGAGTAGGCAGGAAAAAACCACCATTAAGTCAACAAACCTACATTCTTTCAGAAGAAAGCAGAAGGGGTATGGGGATAGAGGCAGACTTTGCTTTTGCAACCACTCTCTTCGACTTCAACACGCTATACAGTAAGAACGGCTTCAATGTACGAAAGCTCTTTGACCAAACCCATAAGTGTGTAATGCGATAGTGTCAAAGGTTTTCGTGTGTCACATTACTTTGATCTCAACAGTTATTGTCAAACTCTTACCTGTATTCCAAGGTCTTTCATTCTTGCAAATGCCAGCTCTCTCAAATTACCATGCTCGACTCCTGAGCTGACTAAGGGCATTGGAATATCTCTGTAGGAGAAAAACATCAGCTGTTGCAAAATATAAATCATTTTCTACAGGAGGAAGACGGGATATTAAAAAAAGCGGGGGAGGGGAAGAACAAAACCCAAAAAAACCCTGCCCTCAAATCTACAAAACAGACTAGGAAAACAGAGGCTGAGTATTCTAACCAGGAAGCAAGGTTCACAGCTTTTCTACCCATTTTCCCATCTATGAAATTATGATTTTCACCCACTACTCAGGGTTCTTCTGATGAAAATCAATTTATAAGATTATAAAGTACAAAACAAATGTCCAATAACCATTAGTAAAGATTTCTGGCGGAAGAGACATCTGTACTCAACAAAACAAGAAATAAAACTTTCTTTAAAAAAACAAAATCTGATTTGTTTAAAGAAGAGAAATAAAAATTATTATTAATGCACTGATTTACAGCTTACAAACACTTTCCCATACGGTTGCTGAATGACAGATAACCATGAATCAAAAGCCTGGCTTAGATGACAACTGGTCTCAAAAGAATAATTTTTTCCTCCTATTTCCTAAAAATCTAAATTAGAAGTGACTCTGCATTAGAAGGTTAAGAGTTTGCCTACAGATGAGAATACATAAAACTCATTTCTGGGCATTAATATGGTGTAAAGTGCCACGTATTAAGGAAACTTCAATCAAAAGTTGAAGTTATGAGTTTCATTTTAGTAGCCTTCAACACCACTTCTAGACAAAAATAATATCTAAAGACAAAGCAGTTTAAAAAAAAATCTGAGGGGGAGGGTATAGATCAGCGGTAGACATGCACAAGGTCCTGGGTTCAATCCCTAGCACCTCCATTAAAATAAATAAATCAATAAAACCTCTAATTACCCCCCCGCAAAAAACCACCAATAAAATAAAGAATTCCACTTAAACCCCCCCAAACTAAAAACAACCAAACAAAACATCTGAAGTAAGAGAATGCTCAGCATCTCCTATTGAGGGACAAGTCCCCAGTTTGTTTTGTCTAATATTTGGTTGATTAGAGACTTGAAGAATACGCTGATTATCTTTTCTTCTCACTTTTGCTTTTGAATCAATTTGAGTCTTTTCTTTCTCTTTTCCCTTATCCTTCCAAATGTTAACACAATTAGCTAATTCACTCAACTGACTCTAGTAAGATATTTCTCGATCACTCAAAAGTATCAAAAGCCAATCAATTAGCATGAAAAGCTATCACAATACACGATTAGGTTTTGGAAGCTACTGTAAAGCAATGATAAGCGAAAATTCTTTAAGACAGCGACGTGCCAGGAAGTTCATAGTGAGACTGACATAAGAAAAAACATTTCAGAGCAATTAGTTAATATATAGTTTACTTCTAATTTTCAGTGAAATAAACTTTCTATCTTTGGAACTATAATTTCTTAAAAGCAAATATATTTTAAGTTAGTAATCAGATGAAGCTGAAAGGCGAGTAAAGTGAAAAGTACAATTTTAGCAAGGAATGTGCAGACAACTGTTTTAAATATCTTACTATTTCATATTATATAAACCAAGGTTAGTCTTCCAAATACCCCTTTTCACCCTGAAATATTTTATAAATTACAAATATGTGTAGTTTCACTATAAAGTAAAGCTTAAGACACTGTTATATATGATATGAAATTGATCTGATACAACCAATGGCAACCACTATTAGTGCCCGTTACGTGACGGATACCTCTGATTCTTGTTATCCATGGCAGTGACGTTCTAAACGTGCCATGAACACTGACTTAGCAAACACTGAAGCATGGCTCCTGGGGAAAATGCAGGCTTAGGTTCCTGTAAGCCTTCAGTCTATTTTCTTCAACTGATCAACACATAACCTGCTTTACGTGTGTTTTTGTTTAAAGACACTTTATTTGAAACAGAATCGATTCATCAACATTGTCCTTGTTGCCAACAGCACTACAATTCATACCGCAGTGAAGCTTACCTAACACATTTATTTTCTTCATAAGACACATCACAGCTTAGGAACATTACATAGACAGCACCTCCACACTATGCTTGGGGACCATTTTAAACAGCAAAATCAACAAAAAGCACAAAAATGTGAAAAATGTAGACCATGAAAGGATACTTGTTACAGTATGAGAGGTGAAACGGGTACACAGCGTCATCAACATCCTGTGCCTCACGGACCCTCCAGCACCAGGCTAGCATCCACCAGTCACCTCCCCCACAGTGTTGTCAGTGGTGACTATCTGTTTCTATCATCCCTTCTGCATTTATTAGTTGAGCTTGTATTTTAAGGAATAACGTTGCATTTTCCTCCATTTATTTATGAACGCATAGATTTCTATTTTATTCAATGAGTTGTAATCTGATATTAACATTATTTATTTTGTTGCTTAAGCAAGATTTGCCCTGTGGGCATGCATTTCGGCTGGTTTCTGGGTCCTTTTGACCTGTCCCCGTCATTCTTTGACTATTTCCTTACTTTCTAGAATAACAAGATGTTTCAGGTTTACCTTATATGTTGGCTTCCCCAGCCCTAGAATTAGCCATTTCGCCACGCAGCCCTGATTCCTTCCAGTGGAGAGTATTTAAAAACCAAGATCTGGGCATTCACTGTGCTCACTACTACTGTGGTATCATAGCCCCTACCCCCGTCTCAGTGTACACAACTAATAAATTTATGTATCTATATACAAATATATTCATATATACACACACATAAACATATAACTATTTGTATATGCAAATTTATAAAGCTGTGAAATCATGCTGATAATTACAACTGCAATCCAGTATATCAGTGTTCTTTTCAGCTTTCTGCCCTTCAACTATTGCAAACCCCTTCAGACAACGAGAAATCTGCTCACAAATGTCCTTAAATTTATGTCTGTCACTGCAAAAATGCAACATGGCTCTGGCAGTGAAATGCCTGGAGTATACCAGATGGGAGTTTTTCCTCACTG